AAAGGTAATTTTGAGAATGTTGATGTTAGTATGTATGTGAGTAGGCATGGCTATGGCTGTGTGAGTATGAATCGGGGCGAGTGCATGAGGACGTGGATAGACACAGCTGCGGTTATGTGAATACTAGTGAGTTGTTGTTAAAATGAATATGGGTTGGCATGGTCATTGTTGTGTAGATATGAGTAGGATGGTGTGGACCTAATTGCATATGGGATTGGTGTTAGTATGCATGTCGGTTGATATGAATATAGTGTTGTCGATATAAGTGAGCGTCGCAGTAACTTTTGGAAAGAGGAAAGAGGGTTAAGATAAGAACTATGCCCACACTCAACTTATTTAATTACACATAAGTACTAAATAAATTATAATCATAGTATGGTAGAAAACTCCAAGTGCTTTGCGAATAGATAATTGTTAAAAACAAACTACGTTGTCATAGTGAGGATATATTTAACATACGGCTTTGCAATTATTCATTTTGAGAAATATGTAAATGATAGAGCGACGAACACCTAGATTACATTGTATCACACGAACAAAAATAAAGAGAGGTTTAAGTGAAATAAAAACGCGTATAACAATGAAATAGGTGATATCAATTAACCGGAAGGAAAAGGAAAGAAAGATAGAACGTCTAAAAAGAATATAAGCTATACAAGAACGAAAACAATCACATGTGGAAAATGGAGTCTATAGCACCATCAATATTTCTAGAAGCCCATAACTTCCGAATATTTCAGAAAAAAACCTGGAAACGATAAGCTCAAACTTACTTGCATCACCATATCTGGCATAAAGCTTAGATGAAGGCATCGTTAAAAAGGCAGCGGTTGCCTAGCGTCTACTATTTTTTTGTCCTACTTCAAACAAGTTGGATGCTTTAAGCTTGCACGTTGCAAACAGTGCTTTTTCTCTGCTTCCAAAGTTGGCAAATAATAATTAATGAATGTTGTTGAGTCTTCCAACTTATAATGACGCAGTTTCGTTACACGATTACAAATTCGCAATGGAATGATTCATCACATAACATTATGCAAGAAATGCATCAGCATGAATTTGCGCACTTTAAATTCGAACAATTTCTGTTTGTACTTCATAATGATATTCAGTTGTTGTTTCTCTGATGATCTGACTTTTCCTCATATGATATGTTACCTAACATTCTAGAAAAAGGAACTATGAGTGTGTATGTTTGACTGTGGGCATAGGGATGCTATTGTTAGTAAGAGTTTTCTCTTCAGTCACATACACAACTACAGTTTGTTAATGAAACATTAGACAAATCACTCGAAGAATTTCTAGACTAATATTAATTCAGCAGTGTAGTTGTGATGCTGTTGTATATGAGGATGCACACCCTTAAGAAAATGATTAGAGCATTTCTTTGTTGATCAAATGTCGATTGAATTGTACGGATCTACATTGGCTCAATGTTTACCAATGATCTTTTTCGAATAGAATAACTGCATGTGACTTGATATTGACAACAATATAGACTTTCCGAACGGCCAAAATTAGATAGGAATTTCTAACAAAAGTCAATTTGACATCTCATACATGTCATATGATCATAACCATCAATCTTCTCAACTTTAGCTCTGTATCTGGGGCGTTTTGTTGTATGATGATTCATGTATGTTTTGTTCTTCAATTGATTATTTTGATGCGTCGATTGTAATCTTGACGAGTGATTTCATCATGCCACGATGTTCTATGAAGAAAACACATCATTTTTGAATCAGGAAAAAAAAGTGAGTCTGTCTTGAGCCCATCCATGAGCACACCAAACAAAACCAGGTTCATTTGCAAAAGTTTTGTTGTCAAATAATATGGATACTTTTCTACTAACACACCATCGCTGTTGGTACTAAGGGCTCGAAGAACTTCATTCACTTCATATTCTACTTGACAATCCAATTCAGGACATCCCATTGTACTCATAATAAAATTTGAATTGACGTTTCAATATGCTGGGGAGCACATGAATCGCCCATACAGCGTTGATTATGGCGATAATCTGTATTGTATTTTGATGAAATTGACAATTTTCGTTTTCGTCACGACAGACAACACACACGTGTGTCGAACTGCAGTATAAAACAAGGCCAAAGGAATGAAGTCAATCTCGTTGAAAATATTAATTGAGTATCGTAAAATGATTTAATTCTTCTCAAGCATAGCTTATGAATCCATATCTGTTCTGTTATGCTTCGTTCTTCGATGTTCATGACGATTCGACGCTTTTGAGTGTCATTTACGGCAAAGCATATAAAAAAAAGTAGACAGATGCCATCATATATCCCGTAAAGCAGCATGTCGAGCTTATGCATATTTCCAATAATCTGAGACCCACGTTTGGTGTGACTTGTGATTACTTTCTTGCTGATTGGATCAGCAAGCATATTAAAGAACAATTTTTTCAACTATAACAGCAAGAACTGCATATTAAATCCTAATCAAAATCTTCTCCTATGCGTGAAATTTATCTCTGATATATGAGCAGTCTATGAAGCTTATTTTTCAAAAAGAAACTGTAGGCTAGTGGCAGTTGATGATACATAACGATATTGATAAAACACTTCCAAGTTTTCGATGATTTTTTTGTTGAATAATTTTCACTCTAAAAATATTGGTGAAACCTACAGAAAAACAAATATGTTTTAATCTCTCATTCATTCACTGTATCAAAAGCCTAATGCAATGTCATTTTCTACACTAACACTGAACATTCAATGAAATGAATGAAAAGCAATAGTGTTCAAGCAATATATTGATTAATATTACTGTAGGGTGTGGATATTGGTGTAGGTGCGAATCGGATCAAAAGTGAACTCATATTCACATACATATTCATACCCTACATGTCGATATGTAATAACGAGACTATTGAGTCATCTCAATGTCACTCTCACAGAACCTGACAGTTATATTCCTTTTAATGTTTCCAATAGTCTGTAAAAGAGATAGAAAATGTACTAGTAAGAGGATGTATTCGTTGTCCATTGAGACAACTTTATCGTATGCCACATTTTAATCCTGTAAGCATTACACTAAATACCTTTTAATGTTGGTCTACCTTTGTTTCCAATCGAGATAAATGTATATGCGTACATTAGCCAAAAACAAATATCCTACTTCTTTATCGAACGATAAGAACAGTGAAAACAATATGTCATACACTTTCTGTGCTTCTTTTTACTTCTTCAAAGAGTTTTGGCAATACACAATATAGTGTAAGTATTTCAAGATTTATCGCCCAATAAGAGTAAATAGTTGGCGACGACACTCTTCATCAACGTAATAATCGATTCATCAAGTTTTGCACACAATGAGTTTTATTATTTTTATGGTATGAATTTCATTTAATAGGTTTTTATATTTTTCGAGTTTAGTTGTAGGTTTATCACAACTAAAAAGTCGGCTGTTTCTCTCTCGCACAAGTGTCAAAGTTCACTTCTTGTACATCGAAAATCGGATCTAGTGAATAGCTTAGAACGAAAAAGGACAACTAAAATCAATGAATATATATATTTTAAAAATTATTCCATGACTGTTGACATTTCTTTTATTCGAGTTCTTTTACGGTACAGTTAGCTTTTAGAATTACTTTGATCTTATCGATAGTGGATCCTTACACTTTAAATAAATACTGGTTACAAGCTTTATTGCAACGTCAACGAATATTATCCTGTGATTCATAGTCACTGATTCAACTGGTACATCTAGTGATACATTCATCAAGTAAAATTCGAGTTTTATTGCCATACTCTTTGAATCTTTATTATGTTTCTTTTGAAGCTGAAGGATCACTTCTTCAGAATTCATTGATATGGGAAATATTCTTATTTATTGGTTTCATCCAGTTATCTAGAAATGGCTTTGTCCAGGCTGAACCATCATCAAGCACTTCAATCACGATCGTCGATTTTCTAAAATATTATCAAACAATAATTGATTAAGAAATAGCTTGAGGAAAAGATTTTTTTACATATGCACTATTACAACACAATAGAGTACGTCGTCTTTCAAAAGAATAATTAGGGTCGATGAGCGAAAATCTAATATTGTTAGCTTTGTCACTGCAACGGGGTCCATGGAAAACCATGTTGAAAACAAGGTTTTGTCGAAGGCAACTTGACTATAGTCTTTCTCAATGTCAATCATTATTGAGCAAAACTTAAGGCTCGAAATCGAGCATAGGGAAAGCTTTCTTTGTCAGCATGATACAAATGTTTATGATCAATCTGTTTTCAAGATGTACAAGTATTGCTTTTCGTCGATCTCAATATTCATTAATTTCTAGTCTGTGGCTCGATTGTTAATGAGTCAAAGACTAATACTAGATGGACAACAAAGATTAATCAGAAACACTAATTTATTGTTGATTTAACCGAACAGTATTGATTCTAGATTGTGATGCAAAGAAACGGCAACAGTGTTTATCAATGTCACCTTTGATGAAGGAAAGTGCCTATATTGCGATTGAGAACTGGACGTAAGTGTGAAGACAATACTGAATATGATGCGTAAAGATTTTGTTCACTTCAATAGTCATAATCTCGAACTGATGAGTACAATGATTAACAAAACATAGAAGAAAAGGAAAATTTGAAGCATATAGTTCTGGAAATAGGACTTATTAAATACTGCTGTGTACTAACATTCAATTGGAATGTATTTTAAGTTCATTCCTATCCTCAGAAATCTTGAATTCGTCTTTGACTTTTATGAGTACAAAGGAAAGCAGTCGTTCGATGATGAAGACATCCTTCTACCATTTTCCTTCGAAACCAACCTCTCGTTCTTATAAGCTTTATTATCAACATGTAAGAGGCAACCAAACTCAACTGACGGATCACATCTATATCTCAAATGGTTCGAATTGATTCAATAGTGATTTTCAATCGTATTGGCCAGTATTTTAAATATTGTCTCTCCTAATAGACTAGAGAGTTACTACCAATTAGTCCTCTAGAAAAAGACCTGTCAGAACAATTGTTTCACACACCATTTCGTTCGATGGTAAAAATTCTTGTACGACCATCAGGTACTCGTTCAAATTGAATGCGTCTGAAACATGAATGAAATCTACGAATAATATCAATATCAAGTGGATTTCGTTGCATTGTATCACAATCGAAATGATGCAGACAGGGAACACATCGAATTAGAATATCAGCCAATTGTTTGAAATCCAATGGTAAACAATTATTCCCACGAGACCAATCAGAAACAATATACAATCGCTTAAGATTAGGCACACGAAGAAGAATAGTTTCGATGTTTCGAATATTTATCGTTCGAATGTAAAGACGTTTTAGATGAGTATGTTGAACAGGAACAACTTCAATGTCTGTATCTGTATATCGTATTGTCGACCAATGTAGATGAGTCAAATTTGGACAAGAAATAAGTATAAATGAATAAACAGGTAAAGCAAATCCGCCAATGATGAGTGAGTGAAGTGAAGGTGAGCTTGACCATCGATGGTTGGGTTCTGGTGGAATAAGTTCATCCAAAATACATTTATACAAAGATGGAAATCCATTGGAAAAAATCATTTGGTAAAAGATCGATGCAACAGTAGAGTCTTCTATATAGCACATTCGAAGATGAACAAGATGAGCAAAATATTCATGTCGAACCTGTGCCAATTGTTGCTGAGATAGAAAATCGTAAAATTCTAGTGAATGAACGTTCGAAAATCGAGTCGCATCGAGATAATCCGGTCGATAAACTTTTAAGTGCACGACACGTTGAGCAAATTGCTCGACAAATGGATCATCAGCATCCGTTCGAGAGTTCGGTTGAAAACTGATATTTGACATACAGTTTAGAATATTATTTATACGAGAATTCAAATTGTAAAAAGTTCGGTAAAGTTCAAGACCATCTATGTAGTCAAAGATTGCATAGACAAGTTCATTTGGCAGGCTCTCAAAACGTGTCGAGATATTACTTGTCATAATAACTGATTTTTCTGCAACGGTTGTTGGGTTAAGCATTTATGACGAAAGCTAACGCACGAGGATCACAGTAGTCGTGATGAAAATCTGATTTTCTAATCGAAAAAATTAGTAAGAACAAGAAAAGTTTTATATATGTTCTATTCAAGAATGCTCGAAATCATTTCATTCGAGAAGCTGAGCAGCGCAGGAATAGTGTTCTCACAGTTTAACTTCACAGATGATATGTCTAACGAGAAACCCATTTTTATAAAAATGACCATAGAAATCGAGTTTATTTGGCTTCATCTAGCGAAAATTGAGGTTGTAAGTAAATAAAATAAAGGATAAAAATATGGACATAATGATTGCAGTGAAACATGTTACAAATAATATTCCATACGAGAGAATAATCGTAATAGAACATTCTAAGTAACACATTTCACCATAACTAAGCAGTTTCAATGTGATTTTGAAGTAATTGAAAATGATCATATTCCATGGACAATCTATTACCACGCCAATTATTTCTAGTAATTCTTGGCATTAGGTTCGATTCGTTAATGATTAGGGTGAGTATTTTCCTCTAATTTATTACCAGTCGTAACTTAAACGTTAAAAAGTTAAATACTCAGGAAAGCTTTAAAATTTAATCTGACATACCAACGAATCCTTTCGGTTTTGATTATAAAAGGAAAAGTATTTGGATTTATTTTATTAACAGAATCTAAACTAATCAGTAGTTCGGATTTTGTATTTGTGATGATATGAGATTTGAATTGCAAAATTAATTTTAATAACTGAATCAAAGTAGATCTAAAAAGTGTCTCATCCTCAATGTAGATAATTTGATTATGGTTGACATTTATAGCAACCATTATCAAAAAATATTATACACATATGATGACAAAGGTATGCAATAAGAAGAAGCTATTTAAGAACAAAAACACTGAAAAAATCCCAGTACATTTCATAACACGGGTTTAGATTTAGATCTCGATGACATGTCTTAACAAATTAATAGTCATTCATCGACGTAATATTAGACGAGTTGGAGATCTGCGTGAAGGTGGATAATTTTTTTCTTTCTGGCAGACTAACGTATCAAGACGCCATCGTTATTGTTTTTTGCCTCGATATACTTTTGATGTGAATTAAAAAACCTTGATAGATGACACTTGTATCCGCCTGTTTAAAAGCTATAAGCATGAATGGTGATAATATGAATAATACGAATAATAAATAAATTAAAAGTTCAAAATATAGAGAAATCATATAGCTGAAACATGATTCTGAGGCTAGTTACATAGTAAATAGAAAAAATATTCAATACAAGATTTTAAGACTCGATGAGAGTGTCCGAATGTAATTCGAAGCTATATGTCGTTCGATGCTACTGATTTCAGCAATGTTAATAGTCAAGATTATTTAAGCTTTTATGGGAATAGCAATATGAAAAGAGTATGAACTCTTTATTAAAATATGGCATTGAAGTGTTTCGAAGAAAGTATTCCATTTGTTTTTCAAAACAAAAGTGTGTTCTAGTTCGAACTAAAAGGGCGCTGGACTATTGTCTAATGTAGATAACATATTGTCAGCAACTAGAAACCATGAACAAAGAGACTTCTTCGTTCTGAACATATTATGAAATCAAGTTATCTGAAAACATGGTAATCTCCTTTTCATTTCGATAGGGAAATTAATTATAACACTAGAAAAACCCCTTAGTACTTGTATTAAAGCGTGGCATCAATTAGAACAAAATGAAAAGAGAAAATGAGCGAAAAAAAAAGTAAACCATAGAAAGAAAAAAAGTAAGTCTGACTAACATGAGTGATTACTGGTTGCAACTAATAATAATATCATTAATGATAACACATGACATCAATCATTATGCTATTTTACATAATGGGTAGCACACCATACTAACATCAATGATCTGTTTTCTTTTATGATTCAAAATGTAATCCTATCAATTACAAACACCTCAATCATTCAAAAGATATCTAATAGGATACAAAAGGTAGAATGAACTATGTTCTTGCGTATATGAATGTTTCTTATTTATGACATAGGATAAGGTTAGAAATTGTGCGTTGTTCTTCATTCTATCAAACCAACGTTAATAATCTTCATACATTTTTGATTCGCTGCTCCATGTGTATAATGTATTAAAGCATATTAACCCTTAAAAGCCGGAAGGCCTTATCGTCGCAATTTGAACAAATTATTCGGTAAAACAGAAGGTGTAGTATCTCAATAAGAATCATTGATAATAAAAACAAAAAAAAAATTTTTTCTTACGGAGATATAAAATGTCCCTTGGAAGGGACATTCGGTCGTAACGGTCCAAAATTTTTTACTGTTATCAATTTATGTAAAATCAATTTTTTCTTTAAAATACCTCTATTTATATGTTTCTTATTATTCAAGAAACTAATTCTAGCAATATTTTACAATTTTTCAAAATTTACACACTATCGGTTTCAATGTAAGTCTCGCTCAAACTTTTCGGCCCGTTAAGACCGAATGTCCCTTCCAAGGGACATTTTCTTCATGCTATCACTATGTATCAACAGGTAACTTAAAAATTTAGGGAACAGTTTCATTCGGTAGTTTGCCTTTGTGCCTCTCAGAAAAGCCAAAATTCACGCTAATTCACGCTATGTTTACGAAAAGGCATACATTGCAAAATACAAAATTGCATTTAAAAAATTCATGCATTTTCCAAAACCTGCTGCGTCCCCTGACAGTCGATTTTAAGAAATTTCTTTTTCACTCTATACTCTATTAGGTCATCAAAGTCCAAAAAAATATTGGTCCATGCCTCAACGATTTTTTTACGTCTCCTATAGCATTTTTTCAAATGTCCCTTGGAAGGGACATTCGGCTTTTAAGGGTTAAGATAAAACACCGATATAAATGCGTTTCATACTCAAAGACTAAAAGATACCTTTCAAAAATGAGATCGATTTCGAAAATAAACACGAACTGATCCCATCTCTGATAGAAATGCTTTTGATCGACAATGAGTCTCGGAGAATATTGAGAAAGACGTCGCGTAAAAAAATACATTTTGGAAGTTCTGTATGAACATAACAAATACCTCCAGAAATATAGTTCATAAATAGAACAAAGCTCATTGGTGCAGTACTATACTCTTGATGAGTTTCTAACAACGATTGACATGTCAGTCGCTCGTTAAAATTTGAATAGATCACTCTTGCATCGATCAACATGTTAATTCTATCTTAAAATTGAGCGTAAGAGACGTGCCAGTCTAAGTTGCATTCGTATTGTGTCACATTTACTTTGCGTACAACGATTCTTTTTGAATAAGAGTTTAATTGTATAGTATGCATGTCCCGTATGAGAAAAACGAAAAGGGTAATGACGATGGAAAGAATTAATAAGAACTAAATGTCGTGCCAAGAAATGTTGAATAATTCTTGCTTCGTCAACAGAATCTTTAGCAAACCACTTTGACTAAATTTGTAGCCATCTTTATTATAAGTGGACAAGTGAGTTTCTTCTTAAAGCAAAAAGTTTCTGGATTATTAAAAGAGCGAGCATTGTCTTTAGCTTCTAGAGCTTTGATGTGTTAAAATTAGTAATTGATGAGATCAAATCGCAAATAAAAAAGTCGAAACGAAGAATATCATCGATTTTTCTTAGCTGGCTCACTATGTTCTGGATTATAAAAAGTATCCGAACAGACATTAAATCCGCTTTCACCGTCAATCGACAAAATCTTTTTGTGTTAATACATACAATATTAATGGAAATGTATGAGTAAATCATAGTACAAATATTTGTATTAGCGCAACTCTGAACTCATAAGATTTCCTGTTTCATAAAATTCAGTATCTAAATAGCGCTTTTATTTTGAAAAAGACATGCATTTATGAATATTAATTTCTATTTGTTGATTAAAAAAACATGTCTTTAAATCTAAGTTGTTTAAGTTCTTATTCATTCATTCCATCGATTCCTTTTCTTTCTAATGTGTCTAATAATTTTAATCATTCAACATTTAAATCAAATGAAAATAGTCTTATTCAAAAATTGTCTTCATCAATAACAAATTCAAAATTTTCTTCATATGATATTGAATTATTGCTTGGCATTTTTTCAGAAAACAAAACACATTCTTTAAATGTGTCAATACTTTTAAAAATGAAATTAATTTCATCAATTTTTAGTTATATACTTATAACTCTTATTCTTTGTTTACTATTGTCTATCATTTTTTATATTATATCATGTATTAAATTAAAAAAATTCAAATTTCAATACAAAAATATTTTTCTGATAATATTAATTATTCTTAATAATTTTCTATTGATATGTATGATAGTTATTATCAATGATGTACATAAAACTAAAGATTCTCTAAATAAATCATTATATGAAATAAACAGAGAAATTTATCCAAAAAGTTTTATCAAACATCTACATCATGTAATAAAACAATTAACGCAACTTGATGAATATTTCACCACATGTAAATGTTTTTTTTGTTTCAACTTTGAATTTCTCGAAAAAAATCTTTATTTTGTGTTGTTTTTTTTTTGAAGCAAATTCAATTGTTATTCTTGGATCAAAATCGATTATGATAAAAGCCTTTAATCGATTATTACAAGAAAATTATTTTATTGAAGATTTAATTCATTATATTAATAATATTAATAAGAATTACTATCAATTAAGAGATTTAATTATGAATGAAACAATATTAGTTAATCTATTTGATCAATTTACAATTTCATATGAAAATTTAATTAATGATTTCATCTATTTGAATAAACAACTTTGTTATTATTTTGATAATTATGGATCTGATTTGGATAAACAAATATTGAATAATTTAAATACTTCTCATGAAAAAATTCAATTTCTTATACAATTCATTGAAAAACAAATTTTAAATAAAATTAATTCGAATTTCTTAGATCGAAAACAAGAAGATAAAATTCATCGATATATTTCATTGATTGCATATTTAATTACTTTTATTATTGTATGTATTACAATCATTCCATTGATTTTTATTATTATTAGAATCTTTTTACAATGGAAAAATGAACAGTAAATCAATGAATTATTTTCTTTTTTTTTTAGAAAATATACATTTTTATTCCTATAGAAATATTCAACAGAATGTTGATAAAGACGATTCTTTGCATATTAAAAACGATAATCAACAACATTATCCCATGAATGTGATGAGGTAAATCATATTAAAAAAACTATTAGTGCAATCGCTGCTGGATTAAAATGTCAAACAAGATTGATCTGTAGGCATTTTAATTCAAGAGATTATGTAATATAGATGAAAATATGTACTATGTGGCATAGTTTTTCTCAACTGAAAATATAGTATATCAGCGTAATTTATATTAGTTTCTGTTTAAAACATAATATAAAGTAATTTTTCAGGCAAGTTAGCTTTTCTCTGTATGATTTCTTCATTATACTGTTAACCTTGGCGATGCGTGTTTCTTTTTGTGTAATTCTACACAGGAGGAGAATATTTATACTGATATAAACATGGCTGGAGTAATGAAATACGTCAATAAACATAATTATCAAGGTTATTTGTAGAGTTCTTCTTTCATTTTGTCTAAATTATTAAATATAGTTCTGATATTGTTGCAATAAATCTGATGCATTGGTTGTAATTTGTTTTCTGTACTTTTCCTTAAAATTTAAACTATAAGTGAAACTTAGATCAATCTGTCATTCTCACTTTAGTTCTAGGATTCAGGATTCAAATCCTGCCCATTAATGTTTGACTATAATTGCTATGATCTTCGATTACTAGAGCTCCATAGTGGTTGCTCGCTGGTTTTTAAACTTGTGAGAAACTGAAAAACTTCGACTTGAAGTTTTTATTTCATATTTTTTTGAAAAAATATATGTGAGTTTCATTTTAAAAAAAAAGTAGTTTTCAAATGAGTTCTACATTGTAATAAATAATAGAAGATTGAACAGATAATAGATTATTGATTCTACCTATTCACATGTAGCTTTATCGACAAAACAATCAAATATGATTACCTTTAATCATTCCAGTAAAGGTAGAATATAATGATTTGTAATTGTTATGTCTCTTGATAAAAAGTTTAATGAGCATGATTATATTTATTAATACACGCCAAGCTCGTTCTACTAAGAATCGTCGTATATTTTGATTCCTATAACTGGACGATAGTTCATTTAGCAATCTATTGATTTTACGACATTTCTGATATGACATAAGTTGCATTTCAAATCAAAGGAAATATTATTTCAGTTGAATTTTAACTTTGAAATAAAATAACTATAGCGTATTTTATAAGCAATTCATACATGAGTTTGCACTTTGATATACTCGAAACAATATTTCGAACTTATAGCCTATGTAATTTATATTTCTTAACTAAATGTCTACGAAACGAATGTCACCATTTTTTTTTATATTGTTTGTTAAATAAATAATTTGAAATTCAACATCATTGTGTACTGAACAAAATTTCATTTGATCATTATTTCTCTTTTTTTATAGTAACGACACAGTATCTGATCGAAAGCAATCGGATGAAGTAGAAAACGACTGGAGAAGTACAAATAATAGGAATTCTAATTCATCGTCTTATATTGATCAAATCCAAAATAATAAATCTCAAGATCATCATACTACTCGTTTATTTCTTTTTTCACTACGTATTGTTTTTGCTTTTATAACAATATTATTAGTAAACTTGTCTCTTGTTACTGGATTTTTGTATGGTCTTGATAGTATAGTACATGGTTCTTGTCAATTAGTACATTATAATCAACCATTTCTTATTTCAATTTCAACAAGTAATTAAACAAAATTAAATAGAATTAACAATGTAGAGTTTTCTCTATTATTAGATAATTTTTTAAATCAGATGAATAATTTTGATATAAATGCAACAATTTTAAATATAATTAATGATTGTAATCAAAATATTCATTTTAGTGAAATTTTCTTTAAAAATTCTTATATTCACTTAAATAATCAATTAAGTTCTTCAATAAAAGATATTAATAAAAAAGTTTTTCAACAATTTTCAAGTGTTAATAATAAGATTAATATAACAGCAGATCTTGATTTATTAATTAATATAGCTAACTTAAACAGTCTAACCAATATTGTAAATCATCTTAAATATATTAAAAATGATTTCCAGCAAATTCGCCAAATATTTAACCAAATTCTTACATCTAATCCACTATTACTACCAAATTTTACCAAAGAAATATACAATGATGTACGAACATATATAATAAAAATTTCATGTTTTATATTTATTTTTTGATTTTGTAGTTTGAAAATTTTGCCATTAAAGTAATTCAATCAAGTATTGATCCATGTCCATTACCAATAGATGTTCTACTAAAAATGGATCAATTAATTTGTCATCATACAGCAAAGACAATAAATGGTGTATGGCTTAAAATATTTTTATTTATGTTCCTTGTTGTATTTGGTCTTTATATTTTTGGTATATACGTTTATAAACAATATGATTAATGTCATTTTTTTTTCATAAACAGTTTTTATGGGTTTTAAAACAACTAGATTCTTCAAAAATGCATATGCCACGCACCAGCGAAGCAGAAGGAATAGCGATTGCTCTCTCAAAAAATCCTTCAATGACGAGCAGAAATAAAGGATTGTTGCTTCTCATGTTTTCTTTCGTTTGTTTTTGAATCTAACATAGTATGATGAAGTATATATTTGATAGAATATAATGCATCGATATGCTTAGTATAAGACATACATGTCAATATGAATTTGCATATTCAGAAATGTTATTTCACTATCAAACTATGTGCTGAAAAATTCTTTATGGTATTAGATAAATAATATTCTTGACAGATTTTATAATTGTTTAATCATTTTTGAGAAATTTTTTTACCTTTTATACATGATTTGATCAATTGATAGAATGTAAACTCCTACAAAAACAATAAACAAAATCGATTTAGCAAGCTCACAGGAGAAAATCAATATAGTACAAGTTGTAACATAAATTGATGGTAAGATCACCTGTTTTAGGTTATTTTTTCCATATCCAACGAATAGTTATTTTCTCTTGTTGAGTTTATAAGTCAAGATTTCGTAACACATCTCGTCCTTCAGAAATAATTCGTCGTGGTTGACAAGCAGATGTATGTGTTTCAGTTGTGATTTAACAAATAATTGATCTCTCCTTGAGACTTTAATGAATGATGACTTCCACGATCGATGTCTTCTGTTGTGTACTTGTGATCTTCATACAAGTTCTCTATCTCCTAGGACATTCTGATTCTGACCATTGTCGGCCTATATAAATTTCTCATGGTTTTACAACAGTTTTGGTTTTTTTCGAACGGTAACCCAAATCTGAAGAGGACAAAGAGATAAAAAGATCAATAAGAATAATTTATTGCTTTCTCTAAAAGAACTTACTTTTTGGAACTGAACGACAGGGAATAGATTCCTAGGGTAAATGGACCGTAAATATATAACGAGCACAAAGTGAGATGTGACATTTTTTTACTCTATGAACCTATACGAAATTATACGCGATGAAGAATAAACCAAAAAGATCAAATTGCTATGTGGAAGGGATATAAATTCAATCACAGATAATTATAACAAAAGAAATATTGGTCAATAATAACCGACTATTTCGATCAAAATCTATTTTCTATGATTGTATTCTTCTACAATAAACCATGAATAATGCACAGTGGTATTGCTTATTTAAAAATAGCGAAAATTATGATTTTAGACAACGGATATTAAGCTTGTAATTTGAGATAATTACTGATGGATATCAGCTGAATAAATACTATACATTCGAAATTATATCTTTTATATGAAAATCATTAAAACAGATTCATTTTCACTCAAAAATATCATTAGACAATGACATTAAGGAGCATCGCTCAATTTAGACAGCTCTTTCCTAACACTTAACAGTAGTCATTGCATGGGTCGCTTAAACATGCTTCACCATATTGAGTGATGATTAATAAAAGAATCTTATTTAGATATGATTAAACTTGATCTCATTAACTGATAAGATCCTTCATTAGAGGAAAAAAGAAGATTATGTTGAAGTAAGCTGTATCTCTATGATAATAAAAGAATGATATTTTCAAAAGGAGATCAATCAAGAAAATAAGAGAAGTAAAGATTCTACAAGGCTTCTAATCAGAATAATAGGGGGATTGATGGTCAGGAATATTCTAGATTTTGAAACGAGTTGTTCAACCTGGAAGAACATACAGAAACTAGTCAAGAATTCTAAATTTCATAATTACTTAGGGCATACCAAAAGTACGGGCAGTGACCCTTTAATATCGCATAATAGGTTTAAATAACTTTCTTTCTGTATAGTCTGATAGAGAAAAAAAAGCTCTATCTTTCTATGCTATTTGATCATACTTCAACTAATATTATAATATTAAATTATCTATAAAACCGATTTCGACTGTTCATGCGCTGGTTGTACTAGATAACAACGTGTGAAACATATTAGTTATCAATCGCTTAATACATTGTATGAATAACCAAAATATATCATAAGATGCAGCGTGAAAAGTCCTACAATTTATATAAGACCACTTCTTTTATAGCTGCACTTTTTGTTTCAAAATGGACAAAGTTTTGAGGAAACAAATTTTGAGCATTGCAAAAATTGTTTGCATAGAATTTCCCTTTTTCGAAAAACAATTACAATAAGCATTACTGTGTAGATTGTAGAGCTTTTCACGCTGCATCTTATGATATATTTTGGTTGTTAATACAACTAATAAGGAATTGAAAACTGCAAAGTAAAACTTACAACGAGTACATAACCAGCCGAAATAGGTTTTATAGATAATTTAATATTATAATATTAGTTGAAGTGTGATCAAATAGCATAGAAAGATAGAGCTTTTTTTCTCTATCAGACTATACAGAAAGAAAGTTATTTAAACCAATTACACGGTATTAAAATGTCACTGCCCGTACTTTTGGTATGCCCTAAGTATTAGTGTCGTACAACAAAACTCGTTTCATTGAATTCTTAGAATAAATCAAAGTGTTGACACAAAACAGTTGCACACGTTTAGAACCAACAAGATGCTTCGTATTATCTCAAAATACTTAAAAGATTTCTTGAAAATTTTCTATATTTTGAACGCTCGAAAAATTTATCATTCGTTTTTTCTTAGTTGTCTGATATAAAAAAAAATGCAATATTTATCAGATCTGAATAATTACTTTTTTTCAGTAGTTTTCTTTCTTCAGTCGTCAAATCAAGCCATTAGAATCTACTGCCGAAGCAATCTTGTGGACGTCAACTTGTTATTGAATGAGAGTTTTCTCAATTGTTGTGACGTGAGAAAGCTAGCGGTGAGAACAGTGAGAATAGTCAAAATACTGGTTGTCGTTTTAGATAACATTAATAGCACTTTTCGTTGTTATAATTAAGTTTGTTATCAGCTACAAGAACAAAATAAAAATGTCATACGCTGCATAAGAATCTAAAAGTAAAAGTTGCTGGTAATGAAGTTAAGAAGCGAGTAAGAGAGGAGAGACTACTAGATAGTAAAAAGAACGACGATAAAAGAAAGAAAAATAAAGGAGAAAAAATAATGAGATAGAACAAAAAAACTCCAAATAAACCTATACACAGATAGAAACCTGACATACGTCGTACTTCACATCGTATATGCAAACACGTGACTCATAAAAAGTATTTGAATGGCACTTGAACCAGATATCGTTTCGTCGATGGTCGAAAACTCTACGTCCACACTTGATCAAACGAAAATGCCATTTTTGGAAAGTCTGATGGTCGAGAAAGTTCAGAAACCAATTTCATTTCACATGCCAGGTCACAAAGGAACTAAGACACCTCATTCATTGCTACTAGAGTATTTCGGTGGCGATCTGCATCCGGCTGATTTGGTAGAAATTAACAAAAACGTGGATTATTTGCATTCACCAAAAGGAGCATTACTCGAAACTCAGAAGCTAGCGGCTGCTGCATATGGTGCCGATCATACATTCTTTCTCATTAATGGTTCAACAGTGGGTAATATGGCTGCTATTATGAGTGTGACCGCTTCCCATCAAAAGATTATAATGTCACGCGCCTCGCATCGATCTGTCTATGGTGGAATCGTACTTTCCGGCGCTACACCCATCTACATCGAACCTGATTATCATCCTGATATTGGATTTCCACTATCAGTGAGTGTCGAAGCGATTGAAGCTCTACTTCAACAGCATCATGATGTCGTTGCTATTCATTTGACTTCTCCTAATTACTACGGTGTTATGCCTGATGTAGCGGCTATTTGTCAACTCGCTCATTCTTATGGTGTAGCTCTTCTTGTTGATGAGGCTCATGGGTCGCATCTTGGTTTTCATTCCGATTTGCCCCCCTCAGCAGTGTCCTTACGAGCAGACATTATCGTACAGAGTACACATAAAACACAAGGTTCTCTTACACAGTCAGCGATGCTACATGTTAATGACAACGGTTTTGTTAATCGAGCACGTATAGCACAAGTACTATCGCTTCTGCAAAGTTCTTCACCAAGTTTGATTTTACTCGCTTCATTAGATGCGACTCGCATGCAAATGGCTACAGAAGGTCGCGAGCGTTTGTCAACTGTTATTGCTCTGGCACAAAAAGCACGCAATGCTGTTCGACAGATGGATGGTTTGCGGTGCTATGGCGATGAATTGATTGGCGTCAACAGCATTTTTGCCTATGATCCAAGTAAGCTTATTATTCGTGTTAGCGCTACAGGTTTCAGCGGCTTTGAGACCAGTTCCCTTCTTAGACATCAATATGAAATTGAAGTGGAATTTGCTGATGTCAAACATGTAATATGTTCTATTACGATAGCTGATACAGAATCAACTGTTGATAAATTACTTAATGCATTACATAGTCTGACTAAACAAAACTATCAGGTTATTGATGACAATAATTTTTCAATCAAGCCACCAGATGGTCTTCCACTTCCAGCGATCAGCTTACGTGATGCCTATTTTTCGACCAAAACACGCAGCATTCCTCTGAATAAAGCAGTAGGACATATACTAGTCGAAAATGTAATACCATATCCGCCGGGTATTCCATTGCTGGTTCCAGGTGAAATAATGGAACAACATCATCTAGATTATATGCGTCATTTGATTGATAGAGGAAGTACTATAATCGGTATGGAAGATTTATCTTTACGAACGGTTCGCATAATGGATACATAAAAATAACATACGTAGAACTTTAACTGTTTTTCGAATACATGTTAAACTCATAGAAACTCAACGTCGTTCATGCTAGCTATCATCAGCTTTCGACTGCTTACGTCACATCTTTAATGGAAAAGAGCAGTCAGCACGGGTTGAATTGTAATATGCCATGAGCTCGAATGATTGTACAGATGCTCTACATTCAAGACTGTGTCCTTGCGGTATCTCTTAATAATTAGTTTAGCATAGAAGTCTCGATGACTTGAGTAACAGGCCAGCAATTTCCCTGATGTAGCATTACAACTTAATATATAGTTTTATTTCTCTGAGTAAAAAAGCAAAGTGAATAGATATTATTTCACTTAATTACATGAAGCATACAAAATCTAAAATGGGCAACACGTGTCGAGGAAAACGGCAGCTTATGGCAACAACTAACGATATAAAACTGTCAAGACACAACTGTTTCAAGAATAATAGAATAAAGTTCATATGTTATATTCATTTGAAAAGCACGAATCGTTCGAGATCTGTCGGATCTTCTGTAATTTTGACGTCATCCAATTGATTTCCCTGAAAAACTTTATTTAATTTTCTTCGACCTTCCGATGCGTTCCCAGTGAATATAAGATATTTCTGATAGAATCCAAGTTTTCGCACTTGAAAAAGTAGACGAACACCAGCATCATTTGGAGAAATTTCATTATCTCGATTCATATCAGTGACAATGCGAAATGTATCACTACTTTTTAATCGTTTTCCAAATTCGGATCGAAGAAAGGTCAATGCACTTTCTGTTGTAGATTTTGGAATAAAATGAACATTGACTTGAGTACCAAGGGTACTTGCTTTTTCCATATGTTCTTTATATTTTCCCACCATTCATGAAATATATGATCATCAACCCATAATACAACATATTTGCAAAGACCAAGTTCAATCTATAAATATTTCTTTGCATATGTTAGAATTAAACAGACCATTTTACCTGTCTCATATAAATAATGTTTTTTCTATCTTTAACTTCAGTATGGCATACAAGAAATGTGGAATGAGGTAAAAAAAGAACTTCATCTTCATCTTTAGCACAATTAGAATAATCTCGTATACTTCGACCAGTCAGTGAATGAATGATGAATTTGGTATTACGTTCTTTAAAATATGTAAGATGTTTAGCATTGTTATCATCACCTTTATCAGAACTACTAAATTGAAGCCATGTAAGAATTTCACCGGGTTGATAATCCTTAAGATCTTTCTCACTCAACTTAATATATCGCACAACTCGACCCCAGTGAAAATTAATATGTGAAAGATCTTTTATAAGATAATACATAATCATAGCCGCATTTTCATCAACTTCTACATTTTCTGCATTTGTTGCTTTGTTTCGTTGCCATCTTCGAGCAAAAATATTTGCGTTGAGACTGAGCATTTCACTTTATGCACCTGTATAAAATGCAATAGCAAATGCATATGCTTTAGCATCATCTTCGTTAATACTTTTCTACAGAAAATGTCGATAAGATGTTTCAATTGTCATAAGATGTATATTAATATAATCTTCTTGATCAAACTTTCTACATGCGTCTACTAGATTTGAAAATGATGGTTTTTTTTCCACGAATCAACATTTTAGTAAGTGTTGGTCCAAAGTCATCTTCAACAACAGCATATTCTTCACGTTTTTGAAGAAGCTCAGTGGCATTTTGATAAAGAATCGCTGCTTCAAGATACTTTGCAACATCTTCTGATTGAAAATTTGTTGATGATGATTTATTTTTATAATTTGGAATTTTACCAACTGATTGTACGTAACAGCAGTGTTGAAGTCGTATTTCTGGATTACTGACATTAGTGCTTGCATTCTGTATATGTTGAAAAATTTCCATGTATGACATACGACCACCTAGTCGTTCTACCTCATCTTCATCTATCATATGCTTTGTCTCATGTTCATCTGAGCTTGAACTATCAGATCTGCTGGACGAATTAAAATCATATCTTTTAGCCATTGACAAACCGCTATGATTCGATCAATAAAACAGTACAGCTAGTAGATCTTCTAAATATCAAAACGAAGGCTCGATTGATTAATACTGATTCCCGATGTGAAGCTATTACAACACAATCCACCATTACGATCCTACTCATAATTGTGTTGCTAGACTTGTAAACAACAACGATAAGCGTCTATAGAGGGTGCACATAGGCGGGAACAACAACGCTAGAGATTCTCAGTTCTATACATTCCACCCGTTATCAGCGGTTATAACCGATGCTGGTAGATACAGAATCTACAGACATAGTCAGTGCAATGACTCATCCCTGTACAAACTCCACTAAAAGAGAAAGTACCAACAAAAAATAATAATTTTATTTGTACCATTAGCATACTCATTTTATTGGCATTTTCATGTCCCATAATCGTTCATCGAAGCATGAATCATGCGTCAATCGATGCGAAATTGTATTCGCTATCCATGAAAAATCTCCTTCATTCCCATGAAATGGATCACTCAGTGTTCAAAGCTCAAAAATCTGCGAAAAATCTTCAATAATCTCAAAAGAATGTACGATACATCATTTCTACAACTTCTCTTGTCGTTGGTCGAGACATGAATCTATGAACAATTTTGTGGGCTATCAATCAATCAAATTGGTCTTCCCGAATAAACGATCTGTGGTGCTCAAAACTCGTGATAGCTACCCAAAACTTTCGGAAATAGATGATCGACTATTGTAAATCTATTACAGCTCTCAAACATTCGTTCGGCGCCCGGATCCTGGTCAGCACTTTTTTTAATACCCAGGCTCGACTCGGTTCGAAGCTAATCGGCATCCAGCAGATACTTTCATAGTTATACTACAGTTTTCAAACGTTTACTTTATATGGAAACAGCGACAAAAAAAAACAGGCCATCTCAAACTCTGCAAAAGGACAAGTGAGTCAAGAAATTCAGGATTCACTTGGTGTTTTTTTGATTCTAAAACCAGATCAATTTCGCTATCTTTACGTTTACTTGTTGTTGATGACGCCGGAATGGAATGCAGTGTTGATATTAAACATCATAATTGTGGATACATATATGGATGCTTTTACCATCACGATAAGACATGTTCATCTTTTTAATAGTTCATTTTCATCTCAATGTATTCAATCACTTCGTCATATGGTTCTTCATCGTCTGTACATGAATTTGCATTAAAAACGAATTCTCTTAGTAAAACAATATCGCTGTCTACTCCTGTGATCTGTTCTCAAGTACAATAAATTAATTCCATCATTATCAAATCAGTTTTCATTTCTACTCTTTTATATATACAGCAGTTTGCAAAAAAATACTTTAAAACATCGAGCTCTCATATATTCCCAGATCGAGTGCCGAGTAACGATCTCAAATCTGCACCCGATTCGGCAGGTTTTTTCATACTCGTTACTCCATCCGAACTGTCAATTTTACATCTGGGCTCCTGTTCAGAACCGATTGCTAGTTACGCGGCTCGGTTGCAGAATACTATTTTTCACAACATAAAATATGTATCAATCAATGCCAAAATTTGTAAGCTATCGACTGAATAGGTCTTTGTCGTTCTACTAATGATTCGAAGTTTCAAATTAAACCAGAAAATTGGGCAAAGCTCTCAAAATTCTAATGCGCAGCATTGAAACCTATTCAAGCTCCTCTTCATTCATTTATTGCGTCACGAACTTTCATCAATCGATGCAAAATTTCTTCAGCTATAGCTCGATGAGGCCATTCTCTCCTGGCAAATCATACTGATCGGTCAGAAACGGAAAATACTGGCTATATTCCTTAGAGAACTGCTATTCAAAGTCCCACATTCCTCTCAGTCTCAATGCATTCGTTTACCGTGGTACTGGTGTAGATGTGGGAGTAGATCTGCGTCTTGGTGAAGAGACAACCGTCACACTCACACCCGCCGGTACTTATGTCCACGCATCCATACATCAGAGTCAGTCTGGCAAACCCATACGCACATTCAAGCTTGAATTGAATCAAGCAGCATATTTATATTTTGTTTTTCATTCTATGTGTGAATTTGATATCATATTTTTGATTCGGTTAGCATATTATATGTATTATGTTGATTGGGAATCAGAATGGATAGAGATAAGCATCAGAGCTGCGTGCGTGTAACGTTTTTTAGACCTGACCTGGTCTGGCGTGCAGGTCAAATCATACCAATCGACGTTTTTGATTTTTCGAAATCATTGCATTTCATAACTGTGCATCAATCTATTCTTCTAGTTTTAGTCATTCAGTTAATTTATTTCCATAAAGATGAGAGAATAACAAATTCTTGTATGACATGGCAAATCAATACAAAGAGATAATTATCATAAATAGTTTTCATATAAGAAGAGCAACATTTGATCAGACATACAACGAAGACCTAAAGAAAAGTGGATAACGAACATGCAGAGAATAACTAAGACTTATCATAACAGCAAGGATATTTACATACGACAATCGATTTTCGCCACAGTACAAACGTAGAATTTACTGTTCAATGGCTTCAAATCTTAACATGTTTTTTGTTAGTCAATATAAATTCTACAACACTAAACTGATGTTTAGTTCAAGCATTTGTTGCTGAAATCAAATGAACCTGTCAAAGTACTCTCGAAAATAACGCAATGCATCAATATTAGTTTTCCAAAACGTTAGAGCCAGGCCCACAACATCAGTCTGACCTGATCTGTTAATTCGGTCGAATACTATATGAATCTATAGGACCAGCCTAAAATTTCAAAACTTGACCTGGTTTTATGGCTTGATAGGCGACTACAAGACATTAATTAGGTCAGAGCAAAAGCTCTGATGAACACCATCTATTAGTATTTGTGGTATGAACAAACCTTTCCTATCAGACTTTCAGCCTTTTGCAATAATACATTGAACGACATAGAACTTCAAAGATATTTAGAAAATATAACAATTATTTTGGGGCAAAATAATTCAGTGTGGTTAGAGGCAAAATATCAGAAAATTGAGCTAACATCCGACTATCTTTTTCCGATCGTATATTAGCATCGTCATTTAGTGACTGTATTTTAGAAGTTACTGAGCTAGTCAGATTTGTAAAGGACATATTTTTGCATCTTTTGAAACACACCTACAGTCAAACCAATCAGTGAATGCAAAGAAAAAAAACAAAATACCAGTAACACTCTAAGCTGGCGTATTTTTTTGAGCAAATCTCAAGAGTAATGTTACTTGTAGACTTTAGCATTTTTCAAAAACTAGTCAGAATCAGAAAGCGCTAATATTTTCTATTTAGAGGTTTCTCATGATGATCAATCACTGAAGGTAATAAAGTCGAAAATTAAAATTTTAGCAGCGGTCAGCTCTACACAAAGTCAGTCGGTGTTTTGGCAGACTCTCTTTTAAGCATCAATATTATGAAGAGAAGAAATGTCTCTCATCATTCTAATTGTTTGAATGAAATTTTATTGATTTCATTTTTTTCGCTAGCATTTGAAATCTACTCCGTTCTTGACTGCATATAAACAATCACTGCAATACAATTATCTATAAAATGATGAGATGCGGTAGTGTAAAAACTTGCTTGACATATTTGTTAACAGAGAATCGAAATTGTTGGAAAAAAAGGAACATCTTGCAATGAAATATCACTCGAGTTTTTTCTCCATATTCATTGTTTTATTAAACATTAATCTGAAAGAATGAAATATGAGATCATTGTTTCTCATGACAAATAAACATGATGAATACATTATATGATTGAAATAATGGTTGATGGGAGTTTCTTGGTTTCACTTGAATTATTCGAACCAGTAGATCAATGATGTGACGAAGAAAACGCATATTTTTATACTATAATAATAAAACTTTTTACTACAACGTTTACTATATTAGTTATCAATTGAAAATGAGAGCTCTTTAATAATTGAATAATTAGTAATCGAATTTTTGTTTAATATATATAATAGCATGCATATCAATCAGTAGCAGTAATACTCTATGAAAATACGTGTGAAAGAAAGATTGCGTTGTCAAAGATATCAGTGTGATCTAAAAAAAAGATTACTATCGGGGCCAAATGAATTTCCCCCTTTGTTTTTTTTGTTTTTATTACTATACTTCTTTTATTTATTAATCCACTATATATAGCGAGAAAGCCCAGAGCGCGCTGCTTCTTTTGATATATTTACCTTGAGCATCAAACATAATTTAAAGTATAAAAAATGTGTTAGAAAAAAAAAGTAACATTTTTTTTTACTACATAGTGTCCATAATATTATAACATTTTTTATTTCACATATATCTTGGCTTAGATAGAAGATAAAATCTTGAATTATTTTTTTCAAAAGATGCGCTGTGAAAAGCTCTATAAAACCTGAAAGATTGACTTCCAGTTACCCTGTTCTAATGGTTTTTCTTTTACTCAAAATGAACAACTTACATGACAGTATCACTTCCCATAATATTGAAAATGTTTGGAACACTTTTTGGTTTGCATATATTTCGACTTGAGAAAATGATACAATATTGAATTTTTTTTAAAAGATAGCTCTACAAAAGCTGTATGAACCAACTCATATAGAGAGACAAAAAAGTGTTTCAAACATTTTCAGTATTATGGGAAGTGACACTGCCATGTAAGTTGTTCATTTTGAGTAAAAGAAAACCCATTAGAACAGGGTAACTGGAATTCAATCATTCAGATTTTATAGAGCTTTTTACAGCGCATCTTTTGAAAAAAAATTCAAGATTTTATCTTCTATCTAAGCCAAGATATATGTGAAATAAAAAATATTACAATATTATGGACACTATGTAGTAAAAAAAATGTTATTTTTTTTTCTAACACATTTTTTATACTTTAAATTATGTTTGATGCTCAAGGTAAATATATCAAAAGAAGCAGCGCGCTCTGGGCTTTCTCGCTATATATAGTAGATCAATAAATAAAAGAAGTATAGTAATAAAAGCAAAAAAAAAGAACAAAGGAGGAAATTCACTTGGCCCCGATAGTAATATGCGCTGAAAATAGACATAATAGTTATATCTTACTTCATAGTTAAACAAATCTATCTTTTTGATTGTACAATTCATGATACCCTATACGTAAAGGATGAAATTCTTCTCATACTATTTTAATGATTTATCATTATCAACTAAATCAAATGGTGACTAGTACAAGAGGAGTACAGTCCTTCAGAAAGCTTTCACATTCTTCTTATATAATATTTTTCATAATTTCGCTATTATCTAGTGACAGGATAGAACTACAAAACGGCAAAGAATTATTTTCAGATCTAGAGCGTGTAAGTACTTTAGAATTCGAGCGATTCAAGAAAAAGCAAAGCTTTTAATGAAGTGAATAGTGGTAAATAGGGCGTAGGTTTAGAAATTAGTGATTTTCGTCTCATGCTGCTCCTGTTATCCACACCTACAAATTTCATAGCAATTAAAAGGTGTAGATATGTAAGTTATCGATTTTTATTCAATACTCTCAATTCCTTCATTCTCATTGAATTGGTAATTTTCGGGTCGTTACTACTGCTGGTACTGAGCGTATACAATAGTTCTTTAGTTCAGAGACAGCAAACACTGTGACTAATTAATGACGAAAATTATTCTGATTTTTTGCATTTTGAGTGCCCTTTCATAAGAATACCGAAAATTAGAAAAGTCAGAATTATTTGCTATAAAGAAAATAAATTAGAACAATTTTTAGAAAATCAAGAAAATTGGAAACCACTCCGACGCATACGCTTGATCAAATTCGGAAATTCGAGAATATACAGTGAGTGACATATTTGATAGCAAAATATGACGGATATCGGACAAAGTACTCATCAGATATTAATAACAAACATAATTATTTCGACCCATTCTTAAAAAGAATTTTTAAGAAAGACAATGTTGAAGAAAACTAATTATTAATAACGAAAAATAATTAAATGTGCCGATGTAGATGAAGAGATGATGTATATCTTTCAAAGGTAGTTTTCCACAAAAGTACATTTCCATTATTACTTACATTTTGAAACTAGTTAGTCATCTTTTTTTCTTTACAATGGTATCATTCTCATGAATTGCTGATTAATTACGAACTGAAATTATTAATTATGATTTCTTGTCAGTTTGAAACAATATTAGTAATTATAAGTTGCTGCCTTTAGTAATTATGGTCTATAAATTGTTAAGCAGTTCTTCTGAATTATTAGAAATGTCACAGCAGCTACAAGAAAAAATGTCTGTAGTGAAATTTTTAAGTTTATTAAAACCTTGTCACTCTACTGATTATTCTATTCAAACAATAATGTCTAAGAAGAAAAATCTAGAAACCAAGAAAGTAATAAGAGATTGTAATTAGCATACTCTTCTCATACCAATAACTTACATACAGATTATTTTCATTTCCTTAAAGTCTATCTACAATATTACATTCACTAGAACAGCGATTCTATCTGTTTGAACAGAATTCAATATTGAAAATGTCAAGTACAAATCCAACACTATCGTACATCGCTAAGCTTCAATATATTTCGGGACAATTATCTCTATATATGTCAATTATTATCCTTGTTTTTGGCTTGATTGGTAATCTACTCAATTGTTTGGTATTTGCACAACGATCACTTCGATCAAAACCATGTGTCGTTTATTTTCTTGTGGCTAGCATATTAAATTTAATTATTATTTTCTCGGGTGTTGCACCACGTGCATTTCAAATTTTTTTTATGATCCCAGATCAAACAGAAACAGTGTCTACATTATGTAAGCTGCGTCTAGTCGTTCTTTTCACAATGCGTACTATTTCATCATGGCTTTTAACTCTCGCTAGTGTGGATCGTTATTTAATATCAAGTTCTAATGTCAATCGACGTCGAATGAGCAATTTGAAGAATGCTTATATTTCGATTTTAATTGTTAGTATCATTTCAGCTCTGGTATGGGCTGAAGCAGGCTACTGTTTTGATGCTAATTTGGTTGGCACACCTCAAAAATGTTATGCTAAATCTAATGCATGTCGTGTTTATAATGACCTTGCACAATCACTTATTACAACCATCATTCCATCGGCAATCATTCTTATTATTGGCTTATTAACTATAAACAATGTTCGACAAGTCCAAAGAATAGGACCTTCTTCAATTAGTATGACTAATAATAAGAATACTCAACGAAATAGAAAAGACGAAAGAAGTTTAACTATAATGTTATTTGCACAAGTTATTCTTTTAACTATATTTACTTTACCACAAGCAGGACAAAAATTTTATCTGACCTATACATTTTATCAAACGAAATCATCAATTCAAAGAGCCCTCGAAAGTCTTATTTTTAGCTTTGTTCTGCTGCTTACATATGGACCTAACTGCATATCATTTTATTTGTACACAATAACTGGTACGATATTTCGAAATACACTTTTCAAATTATTAAAAGACGGAATACGCTATTTGAACTGCTTTCATTGAAAGACAATTTTATGTACACATAAAACTTGAATACAATAAATACTATTCGTACTATTTTTCCTTGCTATCATGCATCAAAAAGAAATTTTGTTGACATCAACGGTCTATTAAACATGATGAACATGAATAGATGGTAAAGCTTGCTTAGAAATGAGCGAGATCTATAATAAAAGTGAAACGTTTTGAATCGAACCGAAACAGATTTCTATCAAATTTTTTGCGCCAAGGCTTAAACAATCAGAAAACCATCTTAAATTTTTTTGCAATGAGCGAATACATCTTTTTCGTTATCTATGACCCAGTGTTACGTTGAAATCGTTCAGAGTCAAGAAAAGTTGGTTCAGAATTGTAATCGATCTGGACAGGTTGATTTTCATTGATTGGAAAATATTTTATAGAGATGCTTTTTTTTCTAAGAAATCTTGTTGAGAACAAGTTTGCTTGCTTTCATCAAAATAGTATTGTTTCAAAAACTATCACTTTTATTGTCTTCTATTCATTCATCCTGTTTTATTTCGTTAATCGACGTATATTTCATTTTTTGAAAAACACAATCAAACGTGTATTCCTTGACCTAGATTCAAATCATATATGTTTTGTTGAAAATAAAGTTTAACTTTGAATTGTCGTTCGATTAGAAACGTTAGGTTTGTTTGAAAAAGCTTGGTGTGAAAGTTCAAGACTGGAAGTTTAGCAATTAGTTGATGGGTACATGATTTTTGCTGTTCGCACTATACAAATATATATGACAAATTCATCTGTGAGAAGCCCAACAGATATATATGACAATGACAAGATATTTCTTCCTGAAGATTTGTAAAAGTCTGAGTACAAGAAGGAAAGTGAACGTTTTGGTGAAGTCATTTCTATTAGTCGATTAATAATAGCCCAAGCAATTAGTCAGTTCTTACTGGTTGGACTGGGCTAGTTCGAAAATTCTCGACCAATCTCAACTCTAAGCTGATGCCATCCCTATGAAGAAATGTTTCGTATAAAAATAATAACTAACATCACACATTAGCTTCTCCATTATTAATAGGCCTCATTGTGTAGTTTCTTTTTTCCTCTTCCATAGAAAATCTAATTTGCTCTTATGTCTGACCAGAAAGAAAACTCTACTTTCACTTTACAATGTCCTTATAATTTCTTTTTTATTTGATCTTCACCTTACCTTAGCTAAAAAACCATATAATTTTCATATTTTTCTTAAATAATCGACCATAATGAAGCTTTCTTTTCTCATCAACTTACACTTTTCTACAACTCTTCATAGAAAGCTTTGAATGTAAATTCTGCGTGACTACTATGTATCGCATGATGGGGCCACTACAATAGAGAGCAGATTGATGTAACGAAATCATTCACAATGCTGAACATTGTGTATCGCAGTTGTGTTGATATTCCAGCCACATTCTATGAAGCCTTGAGAGGCAACTCATACTTCTCATTGTATATTTCAACACTAATTAGAAATTGTGCTCAACAAAAACTGTGATAGCTCAGATCGTGATAGTGTTAAAATGTGAAATTCCAATGAGAATAATGTTGTCTCAATCAGAGATGAGATTGGTTCCTGTTTTTTGAAACAGAATCAAAAGAAAAACTTCTCAAACAAAACTCACTCTAATTAAAAATTGTCAAGATTTACTGTTTCTTTTTTTAAATATGATCCTTAAAATGTCTTTACGAATGAATCAGATAGCAACAGTTGTATGTACTCTGCTTTTGAAATATTTAAAAATGATTTCAAAACTTAACTGCGAACTGATTTTTTACAGAACGTATTGCTTTAGAAATCATTATTTTTTTAAAACCAAATTTTCTGACTTACACATGTTTGAGCAATTATTAGTTCTTCAACTATTTGACTGAGTTACCGTATATTTTTGCGGACGTTTATTGATTTATATAAACTGGCGCTCCTGAAGTTTGCTACTATACATATACTATTTTACATCAACAAAGAGAATTCTTTCTCTACTCGAATTTCTATTGTGAAACTCCAAGATTTTTCCTTCTATGGTCTTATAGAAATAGGTATAATATTTTAACAATTCTGAATCCTATTGCATGCATTAGAGAAGATCATTCTATCCAGTTATATAATATCTCTTGAGAATATAATTGCATAGTATCTCAAGTAGAAATTGTTTCGGAACGAATTAGCGTAGCATGTACTTTTCACAATGTAAATTGCTTGATTATCCATATAAAAGAAAAACAGTCGGTAAACAAGTTTGAGAAGAAATTGAATTCTCTATGTTTTCATAGCTATTAGTAACATCCATTTTCTATATATATATATAAATATATGTTCTTCCATTCTGAAAAATGTCTCAAGAAATACACATATGTAAGGATATGTTGTTATATAATTCAAAGTTAAAAGACGTTCGCTTAATGATTCAACACTCTCTATGTCGTTTTCTCTCGCCATAGTTAAGAAGATCTCAACTGTGTAAGTTTTATGCAAAACGAGAAAGTTTTGTTTAAGGAATACAGTTTAACATTTTTGTAATGTAAAGCGTTCCATATCATATCAATACGAGTTCAGGTTTCAGAACTATTTTCTAGAGACATTTTTAAAGCAACAAATTATTATAATATTGTCAATCATGTGAGAATTAATGAAATCATTTGAAATGTCAACTAAAAACATGTTTCAAAAATTTATTTTAAACTAAAAAATTCAAATAATAGAAGGAATTTATATGAATGGTATCATTAACATTATCGATGTTGTAATAGTTTTGTCTGTTCCTGTGATATAACAATGATGGTAGATATAGAATTGCTTCTTATTTTCTTCACATAGAACTGATCCTGTCTCTGTTCTTAGTAGTGAAGAAGATCATGTAAAACGATGAGAGAGAAATATTTACATCATAATCAAGAACAATAATCAGTGCTCTGTGTGATACAGAACGTTTTTGAATACATTCAATTTGTTATTTCATTAAACAAGAAAATTTTTAAGGAACAGTGCATATCAATCGATGTGGAAAGAAGGGGAGGTACCTTGAAAAAAAAACTTACATTCATAATTTTACAGTATAGTTGATGAATTAATTGGATTTTAAGAAGATAGAAGTCTGATCATTATGTTGCTCGAAAAGATCTTAACCGTTTCCAATAAAGATAATTACGATTAATGAAATTGTATCGATTTTAGACGACTTCAATTTCGGCTGTTTAGTAATAAGGATGCTCAAATTTTTTGCGTTGAACTTCAAGAAGTTTAATTTAACAACCAATCGAATGTTTTTATTTCACACGGCTTGTTTTTGCACAGAATATAAGAACAGATTGCAGAATATTTCTTCAGTTGATGCCACTGTCAATTGAAAAGTAAAAGACTCGACAAACGAGTCAAATAGAGATTCTTTTTGCGAAGACTTTTCCTACTTACTTTCATTTAAACTGTATATCCAAGGAATTTTCCCATTTCTACTATCAAACTTGGACGAGTAGCACATAGACTCGATGAGAAGCTATTTAGTTTATGCAATCACTTGTATCTTGATTCAAGTGATTCATACATAGATTGCAATCGAATAAAAACTAATGTGAAATCAATTTCAGCAATGAAATTTTTCATAAGAGAAATCAAAGTCGAAATACTTTGATATAGAAAACTATATTGCTTCTCTGTAAAGAGTATTGACTTCGAAATACAGTGTGTTTGATGCAGAAACTCGTATATTCATGAAAATTGATGAAAGAAAAAAATTCAACATCAAAAGAAACAAACACGTCTGATGATTTCTAGTTTACCTACGATGTTTGCTCCTCATAGAGTATTATTAAATTGCGTATACAAATCCAAACAGGCTGACTTGTTACGGATTTTTCCGGTCTGTGTTTGCCATTTTATTCTTCTGCGTGCTTGGCCATATAAGGTGTGACTGGACAGAAGACCTACACCTACACCTACACCCCTACCCAATGCAAAGACCATAATACGAAATAAATAGCTAAGTCTGAGAACTTTTTCAGCTAATCATGATCATCTTTGTGCGAAAGACGACGAATCATTTGCATCTTCCACAGCATATTGCATTGTATCGTAAATAAAGGAAAGGTGCATGGTTTAATCAATGAACAATATGTATTACTATAGTGAATTGTTGAGCTGTGTTATTCGAAATTTTGTAGCAAGAAAAACATGTGACAATATGATGATAAAGAAAAAGGCGTGGTTAACTTTTGTTGTTTTTACTGCTGGCTTGACTGAGAGTAAGAAGCAAAGAAGAGAAAAACATAAAATACTTCATGTTATATATTTTTTCCTTCACTCTTATTCAGCAGAATAAGCAGAAGAGTTGTGAGTCATTCACAATATAAAAACATGGCCAAATGAGAAAAATTTTTCTGTAAAAGAATATATATTTATCATCACGAGAAGAGTTTTGGTTTATAAGATAAAAAAAATACTTTACTATTATCTATGATTTAAAACTCTATTTACTATTCATTATTGAGTTTATTTTGTTGTAAAGATCATTTAACATCAAACATATTCAAATAAAATACTGCATCTAAAAATTATAATAAAGATCTTAAAAAATTTCTTGATATTTCGAATGTGATGATTGTGATCAATTATTATATCTTGATAAAAAGTACACTTCTCAATACTATTCATATTATTAAGACAAATAAATGTAAGAAAAATAAAGAAATAGTAATAAACAATTGATATTAAATGAAGTTGTTTTAGTAATAAAATCCTTGCTGAGAATATTAGTTGAAAAAAATGAACATAAAATACCAGATTACTTTCAAAAGTATTCTTTCTAGTTGTTATTTTCTTGCTTTTGCTTTTTTCCTTTTTTCGTCTCCGTAATAATGTTGATCTTTCTCTATGATTTGGTGTACGATGAGTCATTTCATTCTGTTACAAGTACAGTGGGTTTTTTCCCACTGCAATACCCAGTAGATGTTCTATATATAAAACAAAATAAATCTATACTTTAATTACATTCTTCTATTCATATGGTATGAACACTAAAGTAAGAGCTTTTGATCTATATCGAATGTTGCTTATAACAAAGAAATTTGTTAATTATATGGCTTTAAATACTATAGTCAACGATTGTTTTTTGATTATAGATTAGTAATAATTCGCATATTGTTTGAAACAAAATATAAGCATTTATTTTTCTATACAAAGGTCAGTGAAATTTTTTTTCCATTGAAATCTTTCAATATTAGTATTGAACAACTTAAATTCTTTGCAGGGATTGATCCGCAAAAGAATTATACAATGTCACAACGAAAAAATCGAAGGGGTCCGTTTTCAATATGAAATCATTACTCACTTCTTTCTTTATTATTTTCTTTTTTTTTATAGCTCTAGCCGACTCAAAGCCGGCAACAAACAACGATAGTACTGATACGACTGTAGTAGTGGCTGGTACACTACAAAGATCAGGATGGGGTGCTCTAGTATCATCTACAACTGAACCATCTGTGATACCAAAACCAACACGAGCTTCACCATCTGGAACTGAACGATCTTGCAGTGCATTCCCGACATTGAATGAGTCAATGCGAAATTTGTCTATCGATGCAGCATCGGCCTTGGCAAAAGATTCTCGTTCTCAAAGTGTTCGTCCAGTGATACGTCGTCGAATATTATGCTCAGCAGTACCTGAATCAGCCGAATTGACACCAATTCGTCGGCCTGATGAAGGTGGTTCAAAAGGTCAAAAAATATCTGTATATACCAATCATTTTCGTGTACAAATCCCTGACGCTATCATTTATCAATATGATATCGAGATTGTTATGATTGGTCGTGATGGTAAAGCGCGTCTAACACGAAAAGATGATCGTTGGGAAGTGATCCAAACATTCGTTAAACAAAGAAACAATTTTCCTACAATCTGGTAAGCTTATTTATCTATTGATAAAAGCTGGCCTGTTTAATACTGCTTGTTTTTTAGGTATGATGAAGGAAAAACGTTATATAGTCGAGAAATACTACCTGATTTAAAATTACCTATTCAGATTGAAATAGGAAAAGATGATGAGAAGAAAACCTTTCAATTGAAAAAATTAGTTCTTGTTCGACAAGATAAAATTCAAAATATTCATGATTTTATTGAAAAGAAAATAAATATGCGACCACGTGAAGCAGTTCGAATCATTGAAATACTTTTCAAGCAACGTGCTCGAAATGATCTAATCGCTATTCGAAATCAATTCTATGACCGACGTCGACAGCTGGATGATCTTGGTTAGTTTTGTTTCGTACAATCATTCTTCTTCATGTTTAGTAATTCGTTTTAGGTGATGGTCGTGGAATGGCAAGAGGTTTTTATCAAGCTTTGTTTCTCACGCAAATGGGACCAACACTAAATATCAATTTGACATTTACATGTTTTTTTATGCCATTAAATTTTGTTGATTTTGCTTGCAAATATTTGCGCAAAGATATTACGAAAGGTTTAAATGAAAATGATTTAAAAGTATTTGAAAAAATCGTTCGCAATTTATCCAGTAGGTTGACTTAATCTTGTTTCTTTAACAATTTTGTTTTTATTAGTTGAAACAATGCATACCGGTCGGAGAATTTTCTATCGAATACGTGGTTTTGGTCGTCCTGCTAATCGACTTATGTTTCGTCGCGGTGGAGATGATGGTCAAACGGCAAGTGCTGTTGATATCAAAGAAACGAGTGTTGCAGATTATTTTGCTGAAAAATATAGAAAACTTATGTATCCTTATTTACCTTGCATTAATGCGATGAAAGGAGCTGAAAACAAACCAAATTGGTTACCTATGGAATTTGTCAGAGTAAGTATATAACATCAAATCAATAATGATGATATGACTTTAATCTTATTTTAGATAGTCGAATGGCAACGTGCATTAAAACCATTAGACAAACAACAACGAGGTGTTGTTTCGAGAAATACGATCATTAAACCAGAACAACGTTACAATGAAATAATGAAAATCGTACGTAACAATCAGTTTGATAGAGATCCTTATCTCAAAGAACTAAATATTCATGTTGACGATAAAGAAATGCTTGAAATCAAAGGTAATTTATCCTTCTTCATTTCATTTCCCTACAACTTTATTGATGTATATTTAGCACGTGTACTCGCGCCTCCAAAAATCAGATATCGCAGTCGTGGTCAAGGTGAAGTTATTGAATCCGTTAATTGTGGCAAATGGCGAATTCAAAATTGGTTTTATACAACATCAAAAATCAATTCATGGGGAATGATTTATTTTGGCGATACACCTAACAGTCGTATTGAGGACACGCTTAGCGAATTTCAAAATCGATTACCAGATGTAAACTTTTTCCAACTGATTTTTAATATTAGTTTGAAGTTTTTTTCATCTAGCTACTTAGACGCAGTGGTTTCGTAATTAATACCGAATTATTACTGACAATAAAGAGTTCATTGGACAATGAAATTTACAATACATTACTTGATGCTAGTAGACAACGTTGGCAATTGGCTATTATTATTATTAATAGTCGTAATTCAGAGATTGTCTATAATCTTGTTAAAAAATATGCCAATACAAAGATTGGCTTGATGACTCAATGTGTTAATTTTCAAGCTTTGGAACGAAACATGAGCAAACTTGAAATGTGTAAGTGCATACATAAAAACATTGACATTTGAAAATAGTAATAGGCGTTAAAAGGCTCTATTTGAGTTTCATAGTAAAAGAATCATTATGCATGATATCTTATGTATTTAAGAAAAAGAGTATTAAATATTTTAGACGTTGAAAATATAAGTCAAAAAATTAATGGAAAATTAGGTAATATCAATGGTGTCATCAATATTAAATCAGCTCTTAGTCGTTCTTCAAGAGAAGATCTTTTTATGTTTTTTGGAGCTGATGTAAGTAATTGATAAGTAAAAGAATCGGAGATAATCAATGATTTTGTTTTTAATCTTTTTCATTTAGGTAACTCACTCAACTTGTTCAAGTGATTATCCATCAATAGCAGCTGTTGTTGGTTCTCGAGATTTAACAAACAATCTATATGCTGCTCGAGTTTGTGAACGTATGTTGTTTATTAGTTTCTATCTATCATTATTATCCATTTTTCATTGTAGAATATCCAAAAAAGGGTCGTTGTTCACTTGAAATTATAAAAGAGTTAGATACGATGGTTATTGATTTACTTCGAGTATTTGCTAATTCATGTGGTGATCGTCTTCCAAATAAAATTATTTTCTATCGAGATGGTGTAGATGAAGGACAATACCAGAAAGTACTCGATAATGAAGTTAATAAAATTAAAAATGCATGTCGCAGTAAGTGTTCAAAAGTAATGATGAAAATAATTTATTTTTTCTCCGTATTAGTTGTCTATGGTAACAAACCCTTACCGCAATTAGCATTCATTGTTGTGAAAAAACGTCATAACACACGTTTCTTTCTATATGATGGTAATGAAACAATGAATGTTCAGGCGGGCACCGTTATCGATCAGAGTATAATACATCCATCACAGTTTGATTTTTACTTATGTTCACAAGCTGCAATGTGAGTATTTTTAACTTTGTTGTATTATATGAAAACTTGATTATGAATTATTATAGAATGGGTACATCACGACCAGCTTTGTATCATGTTCTTCATGATGATATTGGATTCAGCAGTGATGATATTCAACAACTTACCTACTGGGTAAGTTTATTTTGTTTGAAAAAAAGTTTTAAAGATAAGAATGAGATTTATTTTAGCTATGTCATACAGATATGCGTTGTACTAAATCAGTTTCAATACCAGCTCCTGTTCATTATGCTCATTTAGCAGCTTATGCATCACGAGCACTTAAATATGGCGAAGATCAGGATAGAGAAAGGTATGCATTAAATTATATAAATACTTTTCGTCATGATTATTAATGGTATTTATACTTGTAGTGTTGATGAAAATAATGAAGAACCTGAAACTTATTCACTTGATGATATCAAGACAAAAGTAATGGTACTGGATGAAAAAATCACCGATGATATGTGGTTCATATAGATTCACGATTTATTTTTTAAAAACTTTTCTAAAACTATTTTTGTTCTATTAATTACCACAAGCTAGACCATCATTCCTAAATTATTTGACTTATTGCTTTGTATTTTGCAGATATTCAAGATATAGTAATTAAATTATAATAAATATTTCTTTGTTGTTACAAAACTTATTCTCTGTATCACAATGGAAAAAGAAATTTGAATTCGAGTTTTTGTGATGTGATAATCATAGTATAGATTCTTGACTCGCACTCAACTCGATATGTATAATATGTCCTGAAAGTTCATTCGTATATATTTTCTATTTGACTTAACTTTATCTACTAGGCCTTTTTTCAACCGATAGGCCAGTGCATCGAGTTTTTGTTTATATAAGTAAATTTCCAAAACACTCTTGAAATCTATCTCTTCTAACTAACATATGAAACTGTAGTCCTTTTCTATAAGTAGAAAGACATTACACAACGATTGTTTTTAAATTGATTCATTTTTTTTAATCTTATACACATGACAACTCTCTAATAAATCAGTTGATAAACATAAATGCCGTACTTGGACTCAAAATGATACGTATGCTACTTTGAAATTGCAATATACATGCCAAAATTGATTGTGTAATGTTTATTGTGAATCAAGCTATTTTTTGGTTCATTTTTTGATGATCAAATTATTGATCACCTTGATGCAACGCAATCAAAGCTCGATACATGAACTTATCATTTAAAGAAAAATATAATGGTTAAAATAACTAGAATGAATCAGTAAAAATATACTACGAAACTTCTAGAATATCCTGTACTACATTTTCATCATAGATGCAACTAGAATTCTTTGTTTCAAAGAAATCATGTAAGAGAAGGATATTTATTCGATCCCATCTTGAACGGATGATCTTGAAGAGTTCTTCTAAGTTATAACACTAGGTCTGTATCACATTTTAAGACTAGTCCAAACTTTAAACCACTCGAAATGATGGAAAATTTTGAAATGCACGTACACCTATATTTTGACCTATAGTCTTGAGCTAAATCTTTATAGACTCTATGTATTCAGCTGAAACATTTACTATAAAGTGCCTTATTCGAGAGATATCTCCTCTGAAGACTTCATCAAAATTGAATGATCGAAAAAAAAATTGGAGAGAATACTCTTGACATTGAAATGTTCAAACTGTAAAAGCTGCTGGTATGTCACAACAATCACATTCAAGCGATACTTGCCGATTAAGTTTCATCCGTTTAACTGATGAAATTGTTTTAAATAGCTACATATTTTAAATATGATAAAATATGTTTTCAGGGACATAGCATATTATTTTCATAGTTCAGTTCATGGTGTTCAAACGCTGTTTTCTTTGTTTGCTTGTCCACTAGTGTATGCAAGAAGAATTTAGATTTCGTCTAGAAACTGTATCATGATCTTAAAGCTAAATCAACATTATCTTTCTACAATCATAATCATCTTGATATAAGAAAGTTGTTCAATATTTCGTTTTTTTATTTGTATATCGTTGTATTGATGTGTGTAAAACTTAGGTATCGTATACTTTCAAGGGAATTTTACCTCTATTTCAATATATCACGCGCGGTGATAATTAAATAACACCCTAATGATCGTGGTGGATCTTTTTTTTTTCTTTTCCTATTAATGATTGTAATTTTCTAACGTGGTGTGAGTAAAACCTATTGATCATCTTTATTATCATTAGTTAGATTAAATATACTATGTGTAGAAAATAAAAGTCATCAAAGTAGATTATCTTTCTTGTAAGAATGATTGATAAGAAATATTGTATCGTTGTTACTCACGCTAAAAAAAACAGAAGAATTTTTCTGTGTTACTTTCTATTTCTTTTTAGTTGGTAAACCTACATCATATAAGATGTTTCATAACAATTCAATAGTAGTTGATGAAAATTTATCTCCAGATGATCCATTATTTTGGAGTCGTCCAACATCAATTAATTGTAATATAGTACGAATCATTGGAATATTTTTATGTCTTGCTGCATTTATTGGTATTGTTTTAAATGGAGCACTTTTATATAGTTTTGTTCGATATAAATTTCTTCGCACTCCACCTAATATATTTATAATGTTTATTTCGGGTATTGGTCTTTTGGCATCATGTAGTATTATACCATTAGCGGGTAGTTCATCTCTTTATTGTTATTGGTTATACGGTCGTGTTGGATGTCAATTAGAAGCTATCATGGCTTTTTTATATGGATGCTCAAGTTCATATTTACTTTGCGCAGTTAGTCTTAGTCGATGCTATATTATTGTAAGACCATTTAATGCAAAAAGTGTTTCCGTAAGATAGCTTTTAATTAAATTTAAAGAGTTAAACAAATTAATCTTTTTAGATCGGTAAATGTATTATTATTGCTTCTGTCGTTGTAATTATAGCTTTTATTTGGACAATGTTGCCAATTATTGGATGGAATGAATACACTTTAGAGGTTGGTACTTTTGTTTTTGATCTATTTAGATGGATGAAAATAATCAAGAACACTTTTATAACTTGATCAAAGATTAGCATTCTATTGAATGCTCTTCCTGTAACTATATTCCAGGAGAAAACAGTGAACTTCAACAGGCATCAGCGAATATCAAAGACTGTAAATGAATTCAATGGTTTCAGAACATTTTAAAATACTTTAAAGATCATATAATTTGTTGTTCTGGTATTGCCTCTATCCTTTAGCAGACTAAGGTATCATTAGCATTAATCGAGAAAAGAACAAAAAGCACGTTTATCATCGAGATTTTCTAAAGTGATATTTGAGAAGCAAACATGTTTCGATCTACCTATGAATCTATCTTATGTGGATAAAGAACTAAAAAAATGTCTCATGAATGGCTTATTTCTAGTGAGATTATTAAATATAACTCCTATTCACTGGAAAAGACCAAAGATATAATAAATTCGTCAAGTAATCAAATCTTTAATTTGATCATTTGTTAGTGCGTAGAAAAGAAAATCTTAGGATACTTAATGCTAAATTTTGACTTTATTAGTGGCATAGATAATGATACGTATCATTTAGGGAGCTCTTACATCATGTTGTGTAAATTGGTATGATCGACGACCTTTATATGTTTCATTTAATTTCTTTCTCTTTATCTTTGTTTACTGTATTCCATTAATTATTCTTATTGTAACAAATACAATAATTTACGTTGGATTAAAGCGAATGAAATGTAAAATGACACAAGGTGATAAAAAAGAATTAAGTCAAAGACGAATTGAAATGGAAGGACGAATTCTAAAAAGTAAGATTTTTCTTTATCTAAACAAATATATTAAAATATTTCTATAGGTATAATAATTACAGTATGTGGTTTCATAATAACATGGACTCCATATGCAATTGTTTTCTTTATCTCAGCTTTTCGTAATACAAATGCAAAAATATCACCGCTTGCAACATTTTTATGTGCATTTTTTGCTAAATCATCTGTTATGTGGATTCCAATGCTCTATATAAGTACGTCAACACATTTTCGATTGATTTTCGTTGATAGGAATTCAATGGATAAACAAGCTGTAATGTTTAGTACAGATGGAGAAGCACATAATCCATCTGTTGTAATTGGAAAAAATGAAAAAACAGCAGCAATAGCAGTTATCAATAGACCACTGGAAAATAAATGTTCTGCTATTGATGAACAATAAATTTATTTATCTACTTTCTATACTTGCTTTTTCGCATAAATAGATTATATGCTTATTTGCAAATCTTTATCAATAAAAATGTTCAATTCTTTCTATAGCATATCAATTTATAATTTTGAATCTATGCTTTCTTTTTGATACTAAGACGAGCAGTTGTTAATTAGATGTTCGATAATGATCGACAGATAAATTGAACAAAGACGAGCTATTGTCAATCAACAAAATAATTATTAAGCTGAAAAATCTTTTGCAATGAAAATGTTGCTATTTGAAAGTCTTTGCAGATAAATATAGATTGGCAATAATGTTTTCAACAATATAAAGCTATGTTTATTTTAAAACAACTGATATGAAACTCTTATATATGCATATATTTTTTTCTAACAATTTCTCTGGATATGAAAGTACGTGAATCAATCAACAATTATTGCTGTTCGAAATCTAGATCAACTTCTTTTTGCGAATTTTATTTCTTCTAAGAGTATCATTCATGGTTGCTGTTGCTTCTTTTTTACTATTTTCTTGGTTTTCTTTGGCTTCTCTTTTCCACTAGTGGCCTTATATTAGTATTTCCATAACCTATCAAGGTATCGTATCTTATGGACTATTGTTTCAAGTTACAGAAATTTGATCAACTGATTATTAATAATATATTTTGCTTGTATTCGAATTATTGAAAGAATTGTTATAAAAATGCAACTAGATTTAAGAGTTTAATCTTTTTTTGATCTTGAATTTAACAGCTATGAAAAATATTAAAGTCTTGACAAAACCTTCTATTAACTATGACGTAAATTCTACTCAAGATTAGTATTCGACTCTCTTCTTAGTATCAAGATATAGACTCTCTTTAGATGGATTCTGAAATGATATATAATAAAATGTTTATCAGATTCATATCTTATTAAGCTAAATTTCAAGCAACAATTCTGATAACATGTTAGTCTCGTGAGGATTTGTTTTAATAAGAATTTCTTAAAATCAAAACATAAATTGTTATTTTATTTTAAGCAAATCAATCGATAGTTTTCCAATGTAAACTTATTCGATTACACCCTCACTCATGTACTGCTCGATTCTTGAAATAAAAAACATTCCATTATAAAATTTTACTCGGCAATTCATTCATCAGAATCTGCAATTAGATAAATCACTTTACAAGTATTTCTATATAGTCAAATAGGCTTTAATAATTGCTGTTAGCAAACTTGTTTCGTGAAAATTTTATCCTATGCTAAACTAAAAAATTTTCCTTTTATTATACGTTGCAGTATGGATGACAAAAGAACATATATCAAAAAAGTGTACACTGACGAGCAAAAATTTAATGCAACTATATTGTGCAGTTTTCTTCTCAATGGTAATAGCTAGGAAAAATCTGAAAATAGTAATTGTCTAGTGCAAATGATTTCCCATCAAAATTTATGGAACTAAGATCTTTAAAATTAGTTTTCTGGCATTTATAGAAAGCTTTTTTGGAAATATTGATGTATGATAGGAAAAATAATCCTGAGCAAAATGAGATATCTTGACTCTCTCTATGGCCTTCTTTCATCGAAGTACATTCAGCGTATTGATAATCTGAAAAGCATTTTGCTTTTTTTTTTTCATGAAGAAATTCAATGATTTCACTGTGGTTGATGCTTTGGTGCTTTTTAGAAATTGAATGTACTTCGATAAAAGAAGGTCATGACTAGAGAACAAACATGTCATTTTGCTCAGAGCTATTTGTTCTATTAAATACAAACATTTTCAAGAAGCTTCAAATAAATGCCAGAAAACTTATTTTAAAGGTCTTAGTTATCAAGACATTCTCATCCAAGCAGTTTAATGTGAGTTTTTAGGTTCACTAAACTTAACAGAGAATCAGTTCAGGTATTCAAATTGTTTTTTTCAGATTCTTCCTAGCTATTATCATTGACAAGTAAGCTCAATAATACAATTGCTTTAAACTTTTGTTCGTCATCATATGTTTTAGTAGGTAGGACCAGTAATTCACTTAAAATTGTTAATAATCTCATCAAGTCAGTAAAAATTAAATAGTTTAATTATCTATAATAAAAGGAAATCTTTTATTATGATATGATTCATCGTCCATATAAATTAATTTAGTTTTACACGAATTCGAATATTGTTGTAATACGGAAATTGCATTTTGAAATTTCTTATCAAAATGCTCACCATAAATAAGATCGATTGAGCAATAAATTCCATTGAGTATAAGATTTGCTAGGACAATTGGATCATGTCCTTCAATATCAATTTTCATCATAATTTTTGATGAAGCAAATCCAGGAGGTATTTTTCGATTTAATACTGTTTTTTTAAACCAAGATACGATATCAATACTTGGTACAATGATACTTGGTTTCTTTATGTTTGCTTCTAAGCTTGCACCCCATTGATTATTTGCTTCATTTCCTGGTTCAATATAAAATGTGAGATTTTTTTCTATAATACTAACAGCAGTCGATGTAAAAATTTTTACACGCCAATTGTGTTTTAAACAATAATTTTCAAATTCTTTCAAATAATTTTCATGTAAAGGATTAGCTTCGAAACCAACAGAACATACTTCATTTGAGTGATTTTCGAAAATTTGTTTAAAAAGTGGTAGAACATGTGCATTTGGATATAAATGTGGTTCATAGAGTTTTCGAATTTGTATTCCAATATTTGTTCCTAGATCGATGTAAACATATCGACAACCATCTAGTAAGTCTTGTTGCGATATGCGAGTATATTGTGAATTTGATTTTTTAAAATATATCCACTTTGACGTTATTAGACTAAATGAAACGCTTAAAACCAAGAAAAAAATTAATGCCATCCATTTGATTTTTTTATTTGAGGGTAATTGCTGATGAAGATTTCCACCAATTGTAACATTGTTTTCATTTTTATTTTTCAATATCGAATCGAGTACCATCTTAATTATATTATGAAAAAACAACAATGGGAGATGTTGATATTAATTGAGTTATATCATGTGTTTCAATGATTAACTTCCAAAATATGGTAGACTTAGACACTAAAAATACAAACGTCGAAAGTTTCAGTATATGATAATAATCTGAGCAATTTTTTTCAGTTTCAGTAATCGTCTAAGTTTTCTAAAGGGATTTTTCTTTCTAGAATTTTCTCAAGAATGTCTCGATGAAATATACGAAACTTTCACGGTAGATAGATCTCGATGAGTAGAGAAAAAATTGTCATCAATTCTAAATTGTCAAATACTTCCTTTCCATAATTATAGGAGTCTCAAGAGCCAAAAATGTCTAGAAGCTTTCCTTTACACAAAAATTTTAATTCTTTTTTCTTTTTGGACTGTGAATTGTTTGCAGCAACTAGAATCAAATCGTGATGCCTAGATTTTTTTCTTTTTTCTTTGAAAACTGTCATTCGTCGAACTCATGAGAAACACAATACTAGTGGTCATGTATAAAAACGTATTTTTTTTGACTATATTAATTTGCTAGAGATAATCACATTGCCCTTCCTGACTTTTATTAAAGTATCTATGCAAAAATCTTCAGCCTAATTGGCTATGCTGTGTGAATGAAAAGTAGAAATGCTTCAGTTTCTGTGTTCAAAAGTTAATTTTAAGAAAAACGCAAAACAAAGTAGAATTTTGCTTTTGTTTGACATTTATTGTTTTTCTTTTCTTTTTACTCTGGATCATTATAGTTCATCTATTGTGACGCATCGAATATGCATATAAAAGCTATCTCAAAGAAATGTTCGTAGGAATAAATAACACTCCTCGACTGTGCCACAAGGTCTCGAATTAAAGGCATTGATGAATACAAATCGTTAATTTTCTTCTTTCTAATATAATGATTGTTTCACATTCAGGACAAGAATGGGAATGTAAGCAAGGAAACTCAGATGAAGATAATTTGATATGAATTTGACTTTAAGAATCAATCTAGTGACTTTTAATATGTAATAAAATTTTCTACCAAAACAAATGTTTCTTTCTTATGATACAGACGGGAAAGAAAATACATAAATGTATCCCATGGGAGCTGATAGACACCTTCGAGTTCCAGCAAAACTAGACCTGAAAAATTGTGCCTTCTTTTCATGTACTTAGTTTATTGTTTTTCTTCTCTTTACATTTTTCTATAAAAAAAAACTTCAGAATATACTTCTTTCCATGCTCAAAATTTGTGTTCTTCCTTTTGGTTTGTTTTTGTGACCATTCTAGTTTCACGTATTATCTATCTAAATAGCGAAAACTGTACACTGGCTCAGATATTTCTCAAAACCATTTTTTCATGAAAAGCAATTGCAGAAATATCTCCGTTTTTTCGGCCTAGTCCGTTCGATCGAGTTGAAACTTGTTCACATATACTAGACACTGTTTGCGATGGTTATGTTTTTTGTTTCAAAAATATTGTTCTGCTGATTTCTGGCAGCTCTTCAAAAAAAAGTATTGATATTTTGACTTCTTTATTCGAAGGATAGACATTCAAAAGAAACTAAAAAACATTCCCATCTCAAACAGTGTCTAATATCTGTAAAAAAAAAAAAAGTTATCAACTCGATCGTACAAAATTTCTTGGAGAAACTGGGACAAAAATTAGTGTCATGTTTTGCCGTTGAGATCTCAGTATGTAATAAAAGACAGCATTTGGGAATTTTGAGTCTATTACAACTTTTGCTGTGCTCATTAGAATCTATTTGGGCTGAAAATTTCAAATTTTTCTGATAAGCCGTTCTTCAAAAACTCGAATTGGGACAAGAGGATTTCTCTTAAACTAGCGTTGCGCATTTTAAGATTTCCAAATTTATGATAATGATGAAGTTGACATGTAAATGTAATCGCGTGTTGTACATGAATACTATTGACAATTATACGATAATATATCACTCAAGTGCATGTATAACAAAAAATTTTAGTGGATTTTAATTTCTTTTCATTTATAGATGATGTAATAAAACTTCAAGAGCTGATTGCTAGTATTTACTCGTTATTTCAGCCAGACTTTCACTTCATCACAAAAACTTTTTGTTGAGATCACGGATATGATCGATTTCATATTGAATTAGAAACAAGACTATGTTCAGAAAATCAAGAGAACATATTATAGAAACCTAAGAATTGTTTTGACAAAAAAAACGATTTCGATCATATCTGTGATCTTATCAGAAAATTTTTGTGATGAAGTGAAAATCTAATTGAAATAAAGAGTAAATAATCGCAATCAGCTCTTGAAGTTTTATGAAACTATATATAAATCAATGAAAACTAAAAGGCAAACATGGATCGACAGTAGTGCTTTCTAAGAAAGATAAATATTACTTAAGAAATAAAATAGAAAATAGATACTTGCGTCGTTTATGAATGAGAACGTCAATGATTATGTCATAATCATTCTTTTTTTCTATCTTTTGTGATGTTTCAACAAACGATGATCCTTTCTTCTGAATTTTTTGCTAAAAAAAATAGAATGTGCTAGAATTGACACTTCATACTTTTCTCTTTTTCTTTTTTTTCTGTTTCTTTTTACGACTTGTTATTAGATGGGATACAGAAAAGAAGACAAAATCAATTCTACCAGTTATCAACATCTTGCCCATCAATGCATTTTCAAACTATAATTCAAGGTGGAAGTTGAGTGGTACAGGAAAAACTGTTGAATCAAGAAAAAAAGCAGGAAAAAAAATTAACCACCACTATAGATTTATTCACACAATTTTAATAGACAGAAAAAAGATAAACGAAGAGGAAGAAAAGTTAGGGTGTGCCGACGTATCTTGGTATTCTTTTTACATTGAATAGCTAATTCTAAAGAAGATAATATCGTCGGCTGAAATGTCAGAAAAAAGAAAGAAAAGAAAGTTCTACGAGAACTGAGAGGAGAATTATTTTAAAACGCAACAATCAACATCGTCTTCCTGGAAAAAAAACGTCAGTAGTCATTTCTGATGTTCTCTTATGGTGCGGCCTATTTTCATAATCTTTTATTTGTAATTACATTAAAAAAGACTACTAAACTTCAATTTTAAATTCATCTATATTAACATAAATACAAATTTAATTATGTTTCTTTTATTGAAATTATTTTATGATTATAGTAAAATACCATCTAATTTAAAATAAAGAAAAAAAATTATGTATTATTTGCCCTATATTCAAGTTTTATTGCTTACAGAGTAGATGTTTGCACAAAAACGTGTTCAAACTTCATAAACTTACAAACATCTTAGAAAATTAAATAACGATATAATATACTGTTGTGATCATAT